CAAAATAAAGACGGGCACGCCGTCCAGTCCCGACTCCTCCCTCAGCATGATCTTGGCTCTTCAGCCTCCCAACGGCCCATCTTTGTGACCTAATCTCTCCTCCACACGTCCCCCCATCTCCTTCACAGGCCCCTGGGGGAGAGGTGCTGGGATCATCTATTCTCACGCTGTGGCTGATGGGATGACAGCAACCTCAACTACGATTTTTAGTTGTACATTATAAACCAGCACTGCAAGGAGACCGAAACTCACGGATCTAATGAGGGAAGAAATTGTGCTGCTAATCCAAAGGTCCATGGTTCGAGTCCACCTCCTGCTGCGTGGGATAAACATGGGCAGTCTCCCCCTTGTGCCATTCACTGCTTCTGAAGACCTGCTGGGGGGCCAGCCAGCTACGGATGTGGCTCACTGGCTCTAGGCCTGGTAGACGCCCCCAAAATTCCAGGTCCAGAGTTTCTCTCATCTCAGGTTTCTAACCCTGGTCTGCAGTCTTAGAACCCACCCAGTCACCCAAACAGGAATCCTGAGAGTCACCCTGGACCCGATGTACAGCTGATGTGTGAGCCAGTGTTCTCTTCTCCACCCCTAAACCAGGACCACGCTCCTAATTCAAGTCTTCAGTAATTCCGGCCTCACTTATACCTGAGCCTATAAGTTGGTTTCCCGGGCTTTGGCATCATTCTGCTTCCTGAGATACTGATCCTCTCCGGCCAATCTCCACCAGTCACACCAGAGCCCCGTGTATTTCCATGTTCCCTCATCTCGACGTGTTGTGATCGGTGTTACGTGTCATCTAGTCAAACGGGACTCTTAGGGGCCCTATGAATAACAGCTCTGAATCCTGCCCTGTCCTGAGCCAACCCCACCACACGTGACCCACTGCCACAGTCAGTGTGTCACACCATCTCTTCTAGGGTCTGTCCTTCCATCCTTCCCAGCATGATGTCCTTCTCCAAGGACTGGTCCCTTCTGACAATACAGCAAAGTCTGTGGGACCGGGCTTCACAATCCTCTCCTCCAGGGAGCGCCCTGTCAGTAGCCTTTCTCATGTTCTCTTGTATCGCTCAGACATCTACCTTGTCCCTAAGACAGAGAATCTGAAAGAAAGTCTTAAAAATAAAACCAAACACATGAATTCTAGTATCTATTTGGTTGGACTAAGGTGAAGCTGGACTGGAAGTGCTAACACCACCTCAACACTTCTCTTTCTCTTGATGAACTCTAAGAAGTAGCAGTAACGGTCTCACATCTTTGAAGAACGAACAATAAAATAGGATGAATTACAGGAGAGAGAGAGAGATAAAGAAGGGGGTCCAATACTGGGGGAGGAAATAGAATTGAAAATCTTATTCTTCAAGGAAAGGGTAAAAGTAGATCTATAATTCTAATAAGTCTCACTAAGAAAGCTAAGCCCGAGTGAACTACGTTAGGAATTCTAAAGGAAACCCCTCAGCTATCCATCCATGGTGGTAAGTGGGGAGCCCAGGAGGCTGTGTCGATGTCACACTGTCCCCATTTTGGAGGGAGATGCCATGGCCTGAGGCTCCGTCTCAGAGCACTGGACACTTCCTCGCTGCCGTCAGGCTGGAAAGAACTCGGAGGGATCCTGAGTTGTTCCCAGGCTGTAGCCTCTCCATTAGCAGTGTGGTCTTCACCACCAAATGCTAGGGAGAGTCTAAGATACCAAGTTGTTCCTGCCCATTGTGAAGGAGGAGTTTCCTGCTGGGCCCCGAGACTGAGACCCCCTTCCACAGGGCAAAGCACCAGGAAGCTGCAGACTTTAACACTAACATTTGGATTCCAACACTGCTATCTAGAAACAGACGCGTATACAGAAAAGATAAGAAGTTCCTCTTCATATCACAGAGGGCAGGAGGAGGAAGTAAGTTCTTACCAAGTCAAAAATGACAGGAAACAGACTTTGTTACTTTAAACAGAACTGGGTCCATGTGGTTGGTCACTGTGTGTGGATAGTGACACCAGCCATGCCCCTGGAAGACATCCCTTCACCCCAACATATCTACGATAAAGGACACCTTATTCTTCCACTGGCCGTTGGGCAAGACTTCGGGGCAGAAAGAGCAATTAGCTGGCAATGCCACATCTTCCAGTTTAACTCTTAAAACCTCTGTCTCCTAACCTGCTGGTTTGCTCTCTCCAGAACTAAACTTGAAAGCTACACTGGCCCTGCTCAACCCTCCAGAATGTAATGAAGTCACAGGAGAGGAGCCCCAAGCTTGCTTTCCCACTCACATCCTTCGAGCTCATCTCTGACCTAGCCTGACTTCCCGGCCAATCTGCGCATCCCTGAGAACAGACTGTGAGACCCACCACTCAGCAGCCTGTCTCTGACAACCACATCACCACACAGTGAAGGCACCTGCAAGGTGTGCATCAGCATATCACAAACACATTCATCCTGGCCCTGAACAGGACCGTTTGCTAAGTTTTTCAAACCTGTACAAATCTCTCAAACCTGTACAAATCCCACACCTTTTATTTAAAAAAATTGTGTGTGTGTGTGTGTGTGTGTACCATCAAATCAGATCTGACTGGTACTAGAGGAGATTGTCCCTCCTCCAGCAGAGCATCTGGTGGATTTGAACTGCTCATCTCTGAGATTGCAGTGCAGCTTTTTTGCCACTAGGCCACCAGAGCTCCCGAAATCCCACACCTTTTGAGGACCGCATTTCTTTCCGTGTCTTTTTTTATCTTGTTCTTTGAAGCATCAACTAACACGCCAGGTTTAGTCTTTCAAAACTGAGGTAAGCAGTTAGTTAATCCTCTTGCCTCTCGAAAGCACAGTCTTGACGCAAGGGTACAGCGTGCTGTGTGGGGTGTTTGCCCGAGTTTCTTGCTCAGTGTTGTACTGGACAAAACTCAGTACAGAGCTTAAAAATTCGTTTTCTTTTTCTATGTCACAAAGCCTCTGCTAGAAGGGGACCCTGGTGGCACAGCAGGTTAAGTGCTGTGAGGCTAATGTCAAGGTGACAGTCTGATTCACCAGCTGGCCTGAAGGACAAAGATGGGCATCCTCTTCCCATTAAGATTACAGCCTTTGAAACCCACTGCAGTCAGAATCAGCCGTGGACCTGGTTTTGCGGGTTTTTAAGCCCTATTCTGTTAAGTTTCTGCATCAATCAAGGGACCTTGGTGGCTTAATGGTAGAGACCTGGACTGCCGACACAAAGGTACGTGGTTCGAATGCACCAGCTGATCTGTGAGAGAAAGATGAGCAATCTCCTGAGGTTTGGGCATTGATAAGCCCTTGTCTGCTGTTAGAAGTTTCTTGCCATAGTTCGTATCGATCTGTTATCAGGAGAGCTTAATATTGTTGCCAAATTTCACCGGCCATTTCTTTTGGAAAATTCTGACCCACTGGGTAGCAAATGAGTTCTGGACAGTCTCCTGAGATTAACTGTGGCATGGGTGACATTTATTCCTAAATGTTTTCCTGAGCCAAGTTCACAAAGGTGCCAGAGGACGTGAGGTCTCTAGACACTTAGAGCAAACAAGAGGGTGGCCCCCAAGCACACCCGGCACGTCCAGAGAGCTGACCCCTCCTTCGGCGCTCTGTGTTCCCATCAGCACTGCCTTGGTCAGGACTGACTTCTCCCGGACAGTGTCGGCTATGGTACGGCGTGTTGGGTCAAGGCCATCCGTCCAGGTTCAGTCCCACTTCCGCAGCAGCTGGCTGCATGGCCCTGGCTTTAAATGACTGCTTCCCGCTTCAGTTTCCTCATCACGGAACAGAGGGCAGTGCCCACCTCGTGATGCTGCTATGAGGATTCAGTGAGGTAATGACGGGAGTACCTGGACCAGGGCAAGGATTTCGTAACTACTGTGAGTGTCCCCATCAACCTCGTCCCCAAGACGTCCACACTCCAGCAACATATCTTCCGCATTACGGCCGAGATGGACTTTGCGTGAGTCCTTCCTGTTCTAAAACCCATACAGTAGCATAAAAAATTCAGGACAGATATAAGTGGGGCCTGAGCCCCGGACCATGTGGGCAAACCAGGAGATAGTCCTCCTGAGATTCTTCCTAATTCTTCCTGAGCGAAGTGTCACCATCACGTCACCCCCAGGAGCTGGTGTCACTGTCATATCACTCCCATAGGCTGGACGTCAATCCCTGGAGCGAAGTGTCACCATCACGTCACCCCCAGGAGCTGGGTGTCACTGTCATATCACTCCCATAGGCTGGACGTCAATCCCTGGAGCGAAGTGTCACCATCACACCAATCCCAGGAGCTGGTGTCACCGTCACGTCAATCCCATGAGCTGGTGTCACCGTCACGTCAATCCCAAGAGCTGGTGTCACCGTCACGTCAATCCCAGGAGCTGGTGTCACCGTCACGTCAATCCCAGGAGCTGGTGTCACCGTCACGTCAATCCCAGGAGCTGGGGTCACCGTCACGTCAATCCCATGAGGTTTCTGCTTTTTAACTTCAACATCCTGAGTTGACATTTGTTAACAGAAACTATTTCTGGCTGCAGTTCTGGGCTCAGCGTGAGCTTTCAAGCACACAGGCTGGCGTGATGAGAGGTGATGACGGCATCTCTGGTCCCAGCTCCTGCCCACTGTCCACCCCTCCCATCCCATCCCCCCATAGCCACCCACACACGGTGCCTGCTGTCCCCAGCATAAGGCAGAGGGCATGCCCACCTCCACAACAGCAATCACCACACTGCCCACCTTTGGTGTCTAAGCCTTCGGTGGGCTCACACCTATGGTCTCTTGGTCCCCCAGCCCCACGTGGCAGTGGGCACTCAGTGAGTGCTGGGCACCCTCAGTCCCCTACATGGTGGTGGGTACAAATGAGCACTGGGCACCCTCGGTCCCCCAGCACTGCACCACATGGTGGTGGGTATGCGTGAGCGCTGGAAACCCTTGGTCCCCTGGCCCCACGTGGCGGTGGGCACACAGTGAACTGTGGGCAGGTGAAGGCCTCGTCATGTCAGGCTGTAGCTCCCTCCCTTCCGACCCCAGCACTCACCCACGCAGTCGCAGGTGGGGAACTCGGCCTGGGCCCTCTTGGCTGGCGTATCCAGTAGACTCTTGGTGGGGGTGTCCAGGTACTTGAGGGGCGACTCTAAGAAGCCGCTGAGGGTGGGAGTGAGCGGGTTCTCGGCCTTGGTGGGGGTGACATCCTGGCTCCCCTCCTCAGAAGGGAAGCAGGTGGTGGTCAGCACAGTCACCGCCCCTGAAGCCTCAATCTTGATTTGCTTGGGGGAGCGGCTGGCAAAGGGGCTCTCGGGGGCAGGGAGACACACTGGCTGGCTCTCAGGGTCCTGAAGGGGCACAGACGGGGGGCCGGGGAGCCCAAAGCTATCCCCAAATTCTGCCTCAAACTGCCGGATGAGCTCTTCCAGCTTGTCATCAGCAGGGGGTAAGGGGCCGGTGGGGCCCGCCTGCAGGGAGGATGTGGGGCTGGGGGACCTCGTTTCCTGAGTAGGGGGCAGCAGGCTGTCCCCAGGGGGACTTGGTGCAAATAGCGCAAGAGAGGGTTCTGGGGGCAGGGGGACCACAGAGCCCTGTGAGGTGGGGAGGGGTCCAGGCGGGTGAGCCTGCGTGTCCTCGGGGGCTGGGGGCCGCAGCCCCTCCAGGATGATCTGCCGGAGGGGTAGGAAGAGGGGCTGTGTGTCCCGGAGCTTGGACTTCTTTATCTGAATGGGCTTCCGGGCGGCAGGCTTGATGCCGGGGGTGCCTTTGTCAGTCCCCGGGGGGCCTCCGGATGGTGCCAGGGCCTGCTTCTTCTTCTTCTCTTTGGGTGGTCTGTCTGGAGGCCGTGGGGCCGGTGAGCTGACGGGGGTCCACCAGCTGGGCGCGGGGGTCTCCGTGGAGTTGGGGAAGGTGGCGTTGTGGGCCTGCTCCAGGAAGAGGCTGCGTTTGTGGTGAAGGTGCTGCTGCAGTGCGGCCTGGGCCTTCTGGTGGGTGTCAGGCTCCGTGGGCGGCGGGGCAGCCTCCCTCTGGAGGCCCGGGGACAGCGCGGGGGCTGGGGAGGGCGAAGGGGCCTCGGTCTTGACCTTGGGCTTGGTGGGCAGGGCATCAGGCCGCTTGAACACTGATTGGATGTAATCGCTGGCACTGCCCAACAGCTGCTCCAGCTCGGCCATGGGGTCAGGGCTCGGGCGCGGCAGGGGCCAGGGGCTTCGGGGGGCTGCTGGTGGGGTGTCTGTGCCCCAGGCTTCTGCAAACTCGGTCCGAGGAGGGGCTGGAGGGAAGGCAGGGCTGTCTGGGGCAAAGGGCGGGTGCTCCTCGGAGGGGACTGAAGGCCAGGAGGGGGCCCGGAGGTAGGACTGGGGTGGTCGGAAAGGGGCTGGAGGGGACAAGGCCTCGGGCAGCGGGCAGGACGCCTGGGAGGTGGCGTGAGAGGGCTGGGGCAGGGCCGAGGAGAGCTGGGTGAGTGCCTCAATGGCGATGGCGGTCTGCAGGCTGATGTTCTTCTCCTTGGCGATGCTCAGAGCGCTCTGGGACAAGGGCAGGCTTTCTGGGGGAGGTATCTGGGGGGGCTCGGCACTGAGCAGCGGTCGGGAGCTCGGGGCGGGGAGGCCAGCCTCAGCTGGGGGCAACGCAGCCGGGCGCCTGGGCGGCTCCTCCGCACCCTCCACCACCACGGACCTGATCTTCCCCTCCAGCCACGCGAGGTAGTCAGGGCACTCGGGGCCATCGCAGTTGCAGCTGGGTGGCTTCATGCCATGCCGGGCCAGGGCCAGGGCCGTCTGCAGCGTGTCCAGGTCTTCACCGCCCACGGAGCAGCCCTCGGCACCTGGCCGGGGGTCTCTGCCGCTGCTCCCCGGGTCCCGGCTCATCTCACGGTTGAAGGTCTCGTAGAGCCGGGTGCTGAGGGCACCATACGAGGACACGGCTTCGGCCACGGCCGAGAAGGCCACCAGGTCGTGGGCATCTTCCAGGCGGGCGGTGTGAGTTGGGCCCGGGGTGGCGTCCCAGTCGGACTTCTGGTCTACCCGCCAGGGACCTCCAGCCCCCAGCAGGCTGGGCCCAGCAGGTTCTCTAGCACCATTGACAGGCGCCCCTGGGGCGCCTAGCTGCCGCGCGTTCCCATGGTACACTGGCCCTGAGTCCATCTGACCTGGAAGAGGTCCATCAACTGGGCTGAGCTCTGAACTTGTCTGAGGAGAGACAAAAAAAAGGGGGAGGGGAAGAAAATGAACCCTGATATTTGAAAAGCATCGCCTTATTCTACAACATTCAAATGCACACCCAAAGCCCACTTTTCCACACAATCTCTGTCTCAGGTTCAACCTCTTTTAAACCAGTTCATCTCTACACATTTCCTTGCTTCACCAACAGACACTGAAAGGAGATCTTTTTTGTTGTTGTCGTTGTGCAGTGCCACTAAGTCAACTCTAACTCCTGGAATTCCTATGAGAAACAGACTGGACCCTTCCAACATCTCCTCCAGCTTGAGCCCGTGGGTGCCGTCCCTATGTCGGTCCATTCCATGGAGCTTCAGGAGAGACGGCAGAGGAACTGTGGTGCTGGTAGAATGCTGAACGCTGCAGGGACTGTCAGAAGCACAGACAAGTCTGTCCTGGAGCAACAGCAACTACGATGCTCCTTTGAGGCAGAGCTGGTGCAACCTGTTCTCATATACTCAGGGTCTGTTGTCAGAAAGGGCCAGTACTTGGGAAAAGGCATCATGCTGGGAAAGGTGAAGGGTCAAAGGAAGACTCTCAACAAGATGGACTGAGATGGTGTCTGTGGCGATGGGCTTGAGCCTATCACAGGTCATGGAATGGTGCAGGACAGGGCAAGATTCAAATCTGTTGTTTCTAGGGCCCCTGTGAGTTGTCCTCAACCTGACAGCACTTTGCAACAACAATGTGGAACTCTAGTGGGCTCTGATCCTTGTAGAACCTCAGAATGTCATGCTGTGGAAGTTCCCTGAGACAAGGGGGTGGTCCAGGAGGACCCCAGCCCAGCAAATTAAAAATCAATCCAAAGATGTGCAATCACGTTTAAGAAAATTACTTCCTCAGAAAGGAAAAATTCTTCCTTACAGTAGAATTCCAACCAACATTAGGGAGGGGATGATGGATTTAGTTATTAGTGAAGGCTAAAACTAAGGGCCAACGCTTAATGAGGTACAGAATACACGTCCTTTCAAAGTATTTCATCACAAACCGCTTAATGGTAATGTAATAGTGGAGAAATCTGGCAAAACCATCTTAACTAAGTAATAGAAGCTGTCATCACCACCATCAAGACAGACCAACATCATGCATCTCTTGACATGATGCTGTTAAAAAAAAAAAAGGTAACATCAGTCACCAGCAATTATTCATTCATTGTTGCACATTATTCTCCCTCCCCCTCCCTTCCTCACAAGGGACTCTTGCCAACATGTATCAATATGTAACAAAGAAACATCAGTTAATACCATGGTGAAAGAAATCTATGATACCCTCCTTCCAGAGACATCAACCTTAGGATAGAGACAGGCTCTCCCAGATGGCACCAGACTAAAGAGGCCAGGCAGCGAGAAACTACAGGTGAAATGGGGGAGGAGAGTTAGGCCTGCATTACTGCTTGTTTGAGACAGCTGAACTCTGAATACTCTATAAGTGAGTAACAATGTGTCAACATGAAGTTTTTGATGAGGGATATAGTGGTAACTTTGTCCCATGCTATGTCAGATCACTTCCTGCTCTCAGGAAATACACACCATACTTAAGGGTAAAATCACACTGCATCCCAAAGCGTTCATAAAGAACTGTATGTGCATCTATAAACATGCATGTGCACCACGTAATATCAGAGCCATAAACATATACAGGCTGGGTATATAGTAGCCTTGTCTGCTACGCTGCAACTTCCTCTGTGCTAAAATAAACCACCTTTTCATTAAATTATTTGTGGATATTTTATTATATAATTTTAACCGATTAATGAATCCATTACAGTGCCTAGTCAGCCCCTTACTGTATATTACCTTTCCCTTCACCCTCCGATTTTGTCTGTGAGTTTTAACATTTTCCTAGCATGGACAAGTGTTAGCACTGAAGGCTGAGTGACCCCGGCCTGGACTGCACAGCACCAGGGGAAGCTGGGACTCCATGGGGCCAGGGTCAGAGGCCACCAAGCTGGCCACAAAGCCCTCTGCTTTTCCAACAGCCTGTTCCCTCTGCCGTCTCCCAGGACTTCTGCATACACAGTTCTAGTGCCTGGAATGCAGAGCTCAGCCTCTCAGGCCATGGCGGCTTAGCACCTGGTCCTCTCCAACCAAGGAGGTGGGGCTCCCGATGGCTCCTCCCCCTCAATTCCCACGGTCCCCTGTTCATGCCCCTTAACGTCCACCAGGTGCCAGGCCAGTATATGTGTATGCATGCAGTTGCTGCTCCCGACAGACAGTGGTTCCTTCACAGAACCTCCAGTGTCCCTCACCTCTCTGCCTCCGGGTGACCTGACGCTGAGTCAAGGGAAAGCCAGGTGCAAAGCAAAGTGACCTCCCTTTCTGGGACTGTGACCAGTGGGCATGCACACCCTCCTCTAATCGAGAGGCACAGGTTACCTTTTAGACATCTAGGAATGCGGCTCATCACCCAGCACGCCTGCCATCCCCTCTGCCTCATAAATCTGAAGTCTGGGGTCCCTGTGTGCATACAGAGAGGGTGACGGAAGGGGACAGCAGAAGCATGCAGAGCGAGCGCTGCAGGGCCCCACAGCTGGCGCTCGGAGACAAATCCCGCCCAGGCTGAGGCCTCCCCAAAATGGTCAAGATGGCAAAAAGGGATTAAAAAGTCCTTTATGGTACGTAATTAAGAGTGGGGATGGGGCAGGCCTGCTCGTGTGTATCCCTGAGAAGGAAGGTATTCAGGCCAAGGAGTGCAGAGGGGAGACTGGATGCAGATGCCATGGCCAAGTCAGGCAGGGGGAGAGAGGAGAAGTTAAGAGGCTGTTGCTGTGTGCGGTCTGGGGGAGCCAGGGGTTTCCCCCCATCAATCTCTTGACACCTACTGGGGATCCCGGAGAACGTACATCGTGTGGAGACAAGCCAGCAAGCGAGGAAAGGGTGGACGCAGTCCCCAGCTGTCATACCACTGAGTGTGAGAAGCCCCAGGAAGAGGTGAGAACGTGGACCTATGGAGATCCACAGAGTCAGGCTCTGGGCGAGCCATCGCTGCCCCACTCAGCTCACCATAGTGTGCTCTGTGGTCACTGGACCATAGTGTGCTCTGTGGTCACTGGACTTGTGTGCAGCTGCCGGCCACGCGCAAGTTCATCACAGGTCTGTTCTGTCTGGCCGACGGCGCTCGCTCCCTGGGGGTACGTTCACTGCCCAGGGTTATGCATGGCTGCAGCTCTCAGTCAGTCCGCAGAGCTCAAGGTCATCACAGGTCCCTGGGGATATATTCACTCCCTAGGGGTCCGTGTGGTTATCACCAGGGATGGCTCAGAATCACAGAGTGTAATTCTACCATCCCCCCATGGGGTTGCCTGGAAGCGAGGGATCATCTGGGTGGAAAGTGGCTGCATGCCCGTCAGACCACCCCGCCGTGCTGGGGTGTGTGCTGCTGGGATATGGGAGCTGTACCCCAGTATTCCACAGGTCAGCAGGTGCACAGGCTTCAGCCCGGCTTCCAGGCCAAGCCCAGGAGTATAACCCAAGCCCCACCATCTACTGCTCAAAGGGAGCCAGTGAATAGCAACCAAGTTCTGGCTTTGGACCCGTGAAGAGTGGAAAAGACCAGAGGGAGAGGGACTGTGTGATGACGCCAAAGGGTTAGTGAGGGCAGGGGACACTGGCCAGGAGACGGGCCTGAACCTGCTGAAGACTGTGGGAGACCAGATTTCCATCCAGCTGTGTATCAGCCACCAGGCCTGAGCCAACTCAACGCCGGCGAGCTGCAGTTTAGATGCTTCCTTCTACCAGCATTGTAGGGATACTGTATAGGAATCGCAAACTCCTGAAAGACACACCCTACACTCCCCAGACACAGCGGCTCCCCAAACACAGAAGCAGCCCTGCCCACCACTCCACACCAGAGTCGTTAAGCCACGATCAGGCATGACTCGTTGGTGTTACTGGCCACATCCCTGTAGGCACTGAGTTCCTGGCTCAAGCTGCAGATGGAGCTTCCTGGGGTCTGCTGGGCCCCTATGAGGGATGCTGGTGGTGGGGGTGCAAGGGCTGCTCAGCACTGGCTGGCTGGCCATCAACCTGCTGCCATCCTAGTGAAGTGGTCACAGCTGTCCAGTTACAACACACCCATCAATGACACTCATCAAATAGACAAACGTCAAAACTAGGAGGGACGGCACTACGCTGCCTGGCAGGACCCGCGTCCAGGGCAGCGGTCCGGATGGGAAGCCAATCTAACTGGTCAGCAGTGAGCAGTGCACTGGGCATCCTCCTTCCTGAGTGATCGAGCGATACCCAGGCAGGAGGACGCGAGGGGGCTTTAGCAAACAGATGCTAGCACAGGAGGCTAGAGGGAGCTCTGCGGGCCGAGTGATAAGAAACTGTACTGCAATCCCAAGGCCCACGGTTCAAATCCACCAGCTGCTCTGGGCGACTGTGTGTGATTTACTGCCTCTGAAACACAGCTGGAGGGTCAGCCTTGAGTCGATTCCAACTTGACAGCACACACCACCACCACACAGAGGGTCGGAGGCCAAACGTGGGTGTGCACGGGCAGGAAGGCCTGCCGAAGCTGCTTCCTGGGGCAGGAGGCTGGCTCTGTGGACACACACACTCCCTCTCTGGCTCTTCTGTTTGGGAGTTCTGTGACCTCCCCCACCTTTCTCTCCTAGGACAAAAGGCGATGCAGGCCACACCCCAGGCAAACGTCCCTGACATCTGACTGCTTGTGACCCAGCTAACAGTGTGTCCCCGCCCAACCAGACAGGCCACTGAGGCAGTGACCACATCAGTGGACAACAGCCCCGTGCACACTGTGGACAGGACTTAGGACACACAGGCTCATTATGTAATGCTTATCATGATGTTACGTCAGGCAGACAAGACTCCCCCCGGGCTGTGCAGGCGACAGAACCTCGCCTTCGTGCAGGAGGCCCTGGTCTGGTGGTCACCACCGGTCAGTGAGAGGGTTTCTGCAGACCTTCCGGGACTAAAGCAGACGAGGAAGAAAGGCCTGGCAGCTACTTC